CCCCCACCCCCTCCCTCATTTCCTTGGGTCTGTCTGCCCCTCGCCTCTCCCCCTGTGTGACAGGACGCCCAGGAGGTGGTCGTGGTGGTGGACATGCGCTCCAACGCGAAGAAGCTGCTGGGGGTAGTGGCCTACGGCGCGGCCCTGCTGGGCGGCATCACCGCCGTCGGCCTCGTGCGCACCAACCTGCTCGGCGCGTGAGCGGCCCCTGTGGCTGCTGCTGCCGCTGCTGCTGTCGCCTGGCGACGGTCGGGCTGGCGGGCGCCCGCACTGACACTGCCGCCGTGGCCTGACCGAACGGATCCAGTGCGCCCCGTTCACGCCGCCTCTCTGGCAGTGCGTGGCCTGGGCTCGGGCCAGTCGTTTTGCCCCGCTCTTGCATGTAGGCGCCTTGCGGCAGTATGCCCACCCTGAGGGCCGCTACACTCTGCGGCTTGACGCCGGGGCCCAGAGTAGCGCTGTTGGGCCGCATTTGGCACCTGTCAAATGGGCAGGGCCGTGCCGGTTGCGTGGTGGCTTCAAGGTGCAGGGGTATTGACAGGTGTACCGCTGTAGTGCGGCGTTGCTGTTCAGTGGATTGCCATTCACGGTCTCCCTTGCCCTGCCCCTACCCTGTGTCTCGGCTGACAGCACTTGTTTGCTTGCACCATGCACCCGACAGTTGGCACTTGTGCAAACCTGCCGCCAGCCAGGTGTTGCAGGTTCGCTGCACCAATCCCTTGTGTGTTGATCGGTGTATGTTGCTGCGCATGCTGCACCATCAACGCACCGTTGGCAAGCGCTTGCCCGCCTCCTTGCTTCGACCCTGCATCCCTGACGATTTTGTTGCGGCAACCAAGAACAGGGCCAACAATCACGTTGCGGCTGTGCGGGCTTATTGATGTGTAGTCCTGTTATGCTGTGTGCAGGCAGCAGCGCAATTCGTAAGCACTCCTCATGCATTCTCTTCCAGCCAGATGTTGTCACTCACTGTGTGGCTGCGTTCCACAATCGCCAGCGGGTCATGTGCAGTGCCGCGGCCAGGCGCGACGGCGTGGTATGCCGGAACTGCCTCTCCCTTCTTCACCCAGCACATGCCCTCGGCGTTTGTGCCCTGGACTGTTTGCTGATTGAGTGCCGTTGCCTTGTACACTACACAGCTGCCTTTGCCTTTGCTGTCAAAGGCTGCTGTGCCAAAGACCAACGCCTATTGCTGGCTTGTAAGGACTGCAAAGACCTGATGAAGGCACAGGACCTGGCATTGGTATGCAGTGGCCTTGCGTTGTGGTCATTGGCTGCAGGCACGTGTGTCAACCAGAACGCACTCGGCGTGCGTGGCAGCCGGCGGCCCCACCCCGGCAACGGCCTGCCTCGGCGCAGCACATGCCCGTCAACGCCGGCAGTAGCGCGGGGCTCAAGTTGCAAGCCGGGCTGTGCACGCTGGTGCAGCGCAGCGCGACCCAGTGGCTGTGCCAAGCTGCTGATTCTCCACACTGCTGACGAGTGCACCGCCTAATTGCAAAGTGTGTTGAGTTACCACAAGCAAGCGCACAAAGGCACTGCACTCGTGTGTTGGCACACCGCCAGAGCAATAGGTGCTGAATAATCATGCGGCCCACCACGATTGCGTCACACCCAGGCATGTTGTGTGCATTGCGCCTAGGAGCCTAGGTTGCTGGTCATCATCGCGGCTTCAACAAAAGCAGCAGCTGTGTGTCTCTCAATCACGCCCTGCCAGGGTGACCAGGGCACAGCAGTGCACTTGCCACACCGCTCAGAGTGTTGCGCCCTCGCAGTCGGCCGAACCGTCAGGGTCTGTGGCGGCCAGGGGACTTGGCCATTCGATGTGAGTGTGAGGAGTGCCTGCTACATTGAAAGCGCTCGAAGAGGGCAGCCAGCAGCGCCAATACTTGTTGGTGCCCCGGCGCACAGCGTGCCCATCGCCGCCACAAGACGTAAACTTGGTGTCACATGTCATCACGATGACGCGGGGTGGGTTCCAAAGACGCGCAGTGCTTCACAGCATGTTCCCCATACCCTGGCCCATATCCGAAATGCATTATAAAAAGCCAAATGTGATTCAATTCAAGGCGCCCGGCACTCCCGACCCGCTTGCCGCTCCCCCCTCTAAACCGAGGCGGCAAAGCCGCGCGGCAGGGGGCCTGGCCGGGGTCGGCGCCGCGCTTCACCGGTGCCGCACAGGCGGCATTGCCACAAGGCACAAGTGCCGGTGCAATGTGGGTCACGCTCCTCGCGAAAATCGGCCGTGCGCAGCAGCCGCTCTGCCCCTCTCTGCTGCGTTGTGTTTAGCGCACATCCTGCGCGTGTTGACCGCAACTGCAGCCTGATGACGACACCTGCCCGCTCAGCCACAAGCAAACGATCACCGCCAATCTCTCCGCCGCGGCTCTGCCATGCGGCGCGCGCTGCTGCATCGGCGCCGGCACCTTTCAGGCCGCCCGTCACCACTACCTGGCCACAAGTGCACCGCCACTCTGTCAGCGCCAAACACCGGGGCCCCACGAATGAGGTCCCGCGAATCGCACGCGCGTCACGCCGCCGACCGCTCGCGCCGCCGCGCGCGCCGGTGGCGCTGCCTCAGCTGCGCCGCGGCCCCCGCCGCCGTCCCATTGGCGCCCGCCGCCGGCGCGCCGCCGGTCACCGCCGCCACCGCCAGCGCCTCCCCGCTGCCGGCGTCCAGCACTTTTGCGCCGCTGCAGTCGAAGGGGCGGGTGAAGAGCGCCTCCAGGTCTGGCAGCCCCAAGGCCAGCAGGCGCGCGTCTGTGTCTGACGAGCCGTAGCTGATCAGGACGCGGTCTCCGTCCACGAAGAGGCCGCTGACGTAGGCCGTCTGGCTGGTGTCCTTCCAGATCCGCTGGTGGGTCCAGTCCCTGGGGGTGTG